TTCCCTCAAATTCTTCTCTCTGGCATGGGCACTGCAGAGACACATGCTGAGTAGTGAAAAAAGCCTGGTTTACAATGCAGCCTGTGATAGAGTTTATGAAGAACAGATGAGAATGTTGGCAGAGCTCCATTATTCTGAGAGTGATTACCTCACATGTTTGGCCCAGAATTTCATAGTTTCATCCTCTATGGACTATAGCAACAGAACAGCGCTCTGTGAAATATATACTGCATTTCAAAAATAAAAACTCAGAGGAACCATTTGAATTCATTAATCATATTGTTTTAAAGCCATTTTACACAGAGCAACGCCTTAAAACCCCCAGTGAGCAAGCAAGTGGTGATGGTATGAAGAATCATGGTTCATTCTCTTCTGGATTTACTCTTCATTTCAAACTTTGTGATTTTGGAGCTTGATATTTTGGAGACTTCATTCTTTTTCATTGTATTTCAAACGAGTTGCGGAGACATTCAAACAATGCACCTTGTTTTTCTACACAAGAAAGAAACTGTTGTGTATGAAGCATGTGCTGAATGACTACTTTGTGAAGATTTGGTAGTCTAATAGTTGGAAGTTTGTTTGACTAATAGTGTAAAAATTAGCATCTATTTAGATCACATACTGTTCAAAAGTTTGAAGTCTAGTAACTTTTTTTAATGTTTTTAAAGAAGTCTCTTCTGCTCACCAAGGCTGCATTTATTTGAAAATGTAATTTATTCCTGTGATGCAAAGCATCATTACTCCAGTCTTCAGTGTCACACGATCCTTCAGAAATCATTCTAATATGTCGATTTGATGCTCAAGAAACATTTCTTATTATCAGTGTTGAAAATAGTTGTACTGCTTCATATTTTTGTCAAAACCATCATAAACCATGACATTTTTTCAGGATACTCTGACAAACAGAAAGCTAAAAAAAAACAGCATTTAAAATAGAAGTCTTTTATAACTTTATTAATGTCTTTACTGTCACTTTTTATAAATTTAATGCATCCCTGCTGATTAAAAGTGATGTCTTTTAAAAAAATCTTACTGAACCCAAACACATTTTTCCTCTGATCGTTAATGCAAATCGATAGAGCATTTTGCAGACATGAACATGCACAATTTTTTTTTCAACATTAACTTGCACCAAGAGCTTGTAACACTCCAAAGAGAAAGGAAAACTTGAAATCGCATCATATGACCACTTTAACAATTTAACTTTAACTTAACAATGAAAAGATCTCAGCCAAGTCTCAATCTCTGGTGCTCATAATGTGTTTTGGTGCCCATTAGCGGTGTTTTGACCTCAGACTTTTGAATGGTAGTGTAGATAAATCAAAGCATTAAGACTTGTGGCACCACAACACAGATACAATCAAGTGATGGGATTATGAAGGTTTATGGCAGAAACACCTGGATCTGAGGAGGCTTTCTACAGGGTTAGACGTTTTCAAATAGGATTTGCATCTTTCCCAAAGACTAACGGGTTTCCACATTACTAAGCTTATTTTTAACCCTCCCATGAAGAGGTTAACACTGTCATTATACCCTTTCATTTGTGGTTAGATTGACCCCTACTTTCTTAGTTAAGAAGCCTTAGCATGCAATGAGGTTTCATCCATTCCTGAAGTGGCTGCTTTGCTTTTATATTATGTATTGATTATGGTGTCTTTGTTTGTTTCAACCTTGATAGAAGTAATCAAAAATGACAGTTACCATGCAAGTACATCCCAGTCATTGGCACACGTACAGCATGAGGGAAATCTAACTTCTAAAAGTGAAGTTATGGCCGCAGATTGGGTGGAGTAGAAATATCCAGCAAATGCACTGCAATGTGGTCGGTGTCGGCACAGCATGACAAATTGATTGGTTTTCAAATTACTGTGTTTGAAAACATATGCTAGTCTTGCTATTTACAGGACTGAGTAGGGAACTCGACCCCTATCACTTTTTGACTTTTGGACAGTGATATCCATCCTGGCAACATTTCTGAAGACTTGAATTATACCATTATATCCACTGCTACACACATTTTTGCTAATACTGGGTTAGATGACTTTGATTTGCACTACCATTCAAAACTTTGAGGTTAGTATTTTTATATAT